TGAGAGAGAGAGGGAGAGAGAGAGAGAGGGAGAGAGAGAGAGGGAGGGTTAAAGGCAAAACACTAAGTGTCACAACTCAAACTAAGATAGTCAGAAAGAGTGTATGAGGGAGAAACTCACTCAGTGAACCAGCTGAAAGGAAGAGAGAGCTTTTAGAGGAAATACAGAGGAAACTGAAGATAGCGCTCAAAACACAATCACAACTGGATTACTACAGCACAGAGATGGCAGTGACTGGGGAAGAGACGGAGTCAGGTGAGAGAGAGAGAGAGTGTGTGTTTGTATTTTATAAGGGAAAAGCCAGTGTGACGCTAATGTATTACATTCTAATGCATTCCTGAAGTTGTGTATTTTTTCATTTGGTAAATGAGCTAGTAACAGAAAAAAAGGAGGATTTCTTTCTATTGTTTTTTTTTTTAAAGTAAATATGGGACATTTAATTTGGTTGAGTTTTAGTTGCTTTTTAATCACTTTTTGTTTTAAATCATTTTAAATTCTAAATCATTCTGTGGTGTTATTTTTCCATATATTGTATGCAATCTCTCAGTTAATATTCATATAATAATATGAATTTAATATAATATTCAGTTCATATAATAATAATGTAATTACAATATTAAATATAATTATAAATATAGTTATTACTATAAACATTATAAAATAACGCAACAGTAATTATAAAATGCGATTTATTTTTTAAATGGAATATAGGCTGCAGAAAATGTCAACAATCTCAAAATATTTAATTTAGTTAATATAATAATAGACTATAATAATAAAATATAATAGCAAATATCATTATTAATATGTGTTTATTGCAGTATTTAATTCCTGCAATGCTGATAAAAAGCAAAAAGAAGTTTTATCATGTGTAAATGTTTGTAAACATTCTGAGAAAATCAGTCCACAGACAGTGGAAGAATGGCACGTTTTTGTGCTTCTTTTGGTTCTTTCCTTTTATGTGGTTCAAACTTTCTTCTCAGTCATAAACACACTCATTGACATTTTGTGTTTTACGAAATCAGGCTGCAAAATTTGCCTGTCTATTCACACACATGAATCATTGAGAGAGAGAGGGACAAAAGCAGCGAGAGAATGAGGGGGATGGAGGGAGGGAGGGGCTTTCTGTTTGACGTCAGTCTGTTTCCTGGAAGCCGGCCGAAGCCAAGACGGAGGGAGAGGGTGAGGCGGAGAGAGAGTGGGAGTCGGGCGGGGGTTTGGACAACGACGCACGCAGTGACGTCAGCATTTTGTCACATTGTCTGATAATATACACACACACACACACACATACATACATGTTAAGTCAAAGCATATCCAGTTTGTTGAAGGATGTTTACTGCTGGGAACATTGTCTGATAGCAGCTTTAAAAGTGTTTGTACTGCACCAGTACTTCAATTTGCTTTTTCAATGTTGCATTAGGTGTTTTTAATGTGTGTGTGAATGGCTGTGAAGTCTTTTATATAACTGCTTGTTGTTATTGTTTTGGATTTATTGCATAAATTAGTCCAATTAGCTTTTTAAAGCCTGGTCACAATAGAAGTCACAGCTGATTGGTTAGATTCAGTGTTATGTGTCTTTTTATTGGTCAGATGAAATATACCTGGTCAATGGATAATTTTCAGTAAGTGTCCCAAGTCTTCACTAGTTACAGTTTTTCTCAATTGCTTTGGCACATTTTTCGAAACAATCTTAACATTCTCTAAAATTTGCAATTTGCTCAAATCAATAAGAAATTCCAATCTGATGTGAACAAGAAGCTAATTGTTCAGAGATCTGAACTTATTGTTTCGGGAAAAAAAAGTTTCATTCGAGAATTGAGCCAAAGCAATTGAGAAAAACTGTAATATGCTATTTAATCGAAAATAACAACTTGCCTTATGGACTCCTATATATATGGAAATATTTCTTTTTATTCTAATTATTGTCAATATTAACAATGATAAATCATACACTTATTTATTTATTTTGGTGTCTTAGCTCAATATTTTTATTCTAATTATTATCAATAATAATGATAAATCATACACTTGTTTATTTTTATTTTGGTGTCTTAGATCAAGAATATATCACCACTGATATATATTTTTCTTTTATGAGTTTTAGGATACAAATGAATCCTCTTGCAGATTAAGTAATACTAGAACTGCAAAAATAATGATAATTATTATTATTATTATATTCAGTTTTCTCAAGATAGCAGCTCTGTTTGCTTCCATATGGTTGGAAGTAATAATAATAATTATTTTTATTATTGTTGTTATTGATTAAATGATATGGACTTATACACTTATAATTAACATGGAATTATGCACCAGAATGAGAATTGCAAAAATAAAGATAATTTTTATATCCTATCTTAAAAACATCCTGGACTACAAAACCAGTCTTAAGTAGCACGGGTATATTTGTAGCAATAGCCAACAATACATTGTATGGGTCAAAATAATCGATTTTTCTTTTATGCCAAAAATCATTAGATTATTAAGTAAAGATCATGTTCCATGAATATATTTTGTAAATTATTTCAAAAAGTTGTATCTCGGCCAAATATTGTCCTATCCTAACAAACCATACATCTATGGAAAGCTTATTTATTCAGCTTTCAGATTATGTATTTTAAAAAATTGACCCTTATGATGGTCCAGGGTATTCTCAAGGATACCTTTTTGTGGTCCAGGGTCTCTCTCTCGCTCACACACACACACACACACACACACACACACACACATATATATACATACAGTGGGTACGGAAAGTATTCAGACCCCCTTCAATTTTTCACTCTTTGTTATATTGCAGCCATTTGCTAAAATCATTTAAGTTAATTTTTTTTCCTCATTAATGTACACACAGCACCCCATATTGACAGAAAAACACAGAATTGTTGACATTTTTGCAGATTTATTAAAAACTCTTCCTCTTCTCTAAAGCAGCGCAGCATGGCCTCGCCCCCTTTGCTACCTTTTCCCGAGGGCAGATTTATCTGGGTTTGTGATGTCACGAACACAGGAAGTAACTCGTTGTAGTCCCTACCAGCCGTTTTTGTAGGCATTAAACTGCCAGAATTTTAAAAGACAACATCTCCGTTTGCATTGAACTTTTAGCTTCGTAACTTTGCAGATATTGTTTATGCTCAAACAGCAACATTACACACTAACTAACGTTAAAAAAGTGAAATCGCAATCAACCACCCCTTTAAAGTATGTTCATTTATGCACTCAATACTTGGTCCGGGCTCCTTTAGCACAAACTTCAGCATCAGTGAGGTGCGGCATGGAAGCGATCAGCCTGTGGCACTGCTGAGGCACTATTGAGCCTTCAGCTCATCTGTATTGTTGGATCGACTGTTTCTGTTTCTCATCTGTCTCTTGAAAATATCCCATAGATTCCATATGGGGTTCAGGTCAGGCATGTTGGCTGGCCAATCAAGCACAGTAATATCATGGTCAGAGAACCACTTGGAAGTGGTTTTGGCACTGTGGGCAGGTGCTAAAGTTCTGCTGGAAAAGGAAATCAGCATCTCCATAAAGCTTGTAAGCAGATGGAAGCATAAAGTGCTCCACAATCTCCTGGTAGACGGCTGCATTGTCTTTGGACTTGATAAAACACAATGGAGCAACACCAGCAGACGTCACGGCACCCCAAATCATCACTGACTTCAGAAACTTCACACTGGACTTCAAGCAGTTTGGATTCTGTGCCTCTCCAGTCTTCCTCCAGACTCCAGACCTTGATTTCCAAATGAAATGCAAAATTTACTTTTATCTGAAAAGAGGACTTTGGACCACTGAGCAACAATCCAATTATTTTTCTCCTTAGCCCAGGTAAGATGCTTCTGACATTGTTTCTATTTCAGAAGTGGCTTGGTAGCCCTTTTCTTGAAGACATCTGAGCGTGGTGACTCTTGATGCACTGACTCCAGCTTAGTCCACTCCTTGTGAAGCTCTCCCAAGTTTTTGAATCGGCTTTGCTTGACAGTATTCTCAAGCTTGCGGTCATCCCTGTTGCTTGTGCACCTTTTCCTACCCAATTTTTTCCTTGCAGTCAACTTTGCATTTAATATGCTTTGATACAGCACTCTGAACAGCCACCCCTTTCAGTAATGACCTTCTGTGACTTACCCTCTTTGTGGATGGTGTCAATGATTGTCTTCTGGACCATTGCCAAGTCAGCAGTCTTCCCCATTATTGTGGTTTCAAAGAACAAGAGAAACCCGGAACTTATACTGTAGGGATGGTCATTTAATGAAACTCAAATGTAATTATTCTTATTTTTTAAGATACTAGATTTTTGAGTTTCATGAGCTGTAAGCTCTAATCATCAAAATTAAAACAAAAAAACTTTTGAAATGTTTTACTTTACATGTAATCTAGAATATATGAAAGTTTCACTTTTTGAAATGTTACAAAAAAATATAATTTTTTTTAGATGCACCTGTATATATATACATATATCACCACTGATCTTAAGACAAATGTTAAGACAGATTAAATGCACCTTTGACCATCATTTATTGGTAATATTTTACAACATGGTTGTCATTTTTTACAGCAGTTATTACATTTTGTGTACTGTTCATTTATAAATATACTACTGTCCATTTTAATTTCTAATGCATTAATGTTACTATGTAGACATGAACATATGATTAATTAAAATGTTACCCATTTATCTGTCAAATAATGCATTTTGTTGTATATTTCTGCATGTAGCTGCCACAGGAGACATGCCAGCATATCAGATCCGCTCCCCGTCATCAGGGTTACCACCAGGCGTCGTTATGGCAGCGTCACCGGGGGCCATGCACAGCCCACAGCAGAACACAGAGGAGGCCACACGCAAGAGAGAAGTTCGCCTGATGAAGAACAGGTACACACACACCTGAGTCATGTGCTTCAACTAATGCACTGATGTGCATGTTGGCATCTGACCTTTTCTTGCATGTTGCAGGGAGGCGGCGCGCGAGTGTCGCAAAAAGAAGAAAGAATATGTGAAGTGCTTGGAGAATCGTGTCGCTGTGCTGGAAAACCAGAACAAGACTCTCATAGAGGAGCTCAAAGCTCTTAAAGACATCTACTGCCACAAACCAGAATAACCCTCACAAACACTGCGCAAGGACTGTGTGATTCACACACTACCTGTCTCTTCTCTTCTTCTGTTGCATCGCCTGGATTTTAGCGGGGTTTTTTTTGTTCGTTTGGCCAAATGTTTTTATAAGATGTTGCTAATGTTGCTTTGAGGATGCTCCTCACAAACACACACACACACACACATACATTTTAAGATGGGCGTATTTTGAAAAAAACTGAACTCTTCATTGATTTGTGTGTAAAAATATGTATTTTCCTTTTTTAGGTTGAAATCAGAACAAGCAAAGGAAATGGCATAAGCAGCCATGTTAAGTGGCTACACACTGCACACATAAACAGCATTTTTGGTGTTAAGGTCATTTTTGGTATGCACAGAATTTAGCTGTAAATATAAAGAAAATACACTGTAAACCCATTTGAAGCAACTTAAATTGATGGATTAATAGCAGCGTCAATCTATTCAGTAAACCTGACTGACTCTACAAAGCTTACATTTTGCATTTAAATTGGGTCCTTCATGTAAATTAGATTTCAATCAAGTTTGTACATTTCAATATGAATTTTGTAATTTGTTCTTAATAAAGAAAATACTTAATGCAGTACCCCGGAAGTCACAACTTTAGTTAATGCTGTTTATGTGTGCAGTGTTAAATGCCTAATTGTTAAAACGCAACACTGTCCACTGATTGTTTTAATGTAAGTGAAATTATGTGCATTAGATTGAACTGTTTGAAGTTGTTTATTAGTAGTCATTTGAGCTCATGGCTGAATGTAACAGTGACCTAAAACTTCACCAAGAAACGTGACATAATGTTGGTGATTACATAATGTTGACGTAAATGTTTAAACGGATAGTTCACCCAAAAATGTACAGTTTGTATGCTGTTTGCGTTTCTTTCTCCTGTTGTACACAAAAGATGACATTTTTAAAAATGTCTCAGTTTTTTTGACCATACAATGCAAGTCAGTCAGATCCAGTTTTGGACCTCACTGTCTTACATTGTGTAGACAAAACCAGTTCTTCAAAATACCTTCTTTTGTTTTCTGCGGAAGACAGTCATACAGGTTTGGAATTACATGAGGGTGAGTAAATAATTAGAATGTTAATTTTATGGTTGAACTGTCCCTTTAAGACTACTACTAACTCTCTTTATTATTATTATTACAGATTTTTCATTTAGCACTATTTTATTCAATTTGTACCATACGCACAACTATGTCAATTGCTTCATGTCTTGGTAAAATTAAGTCATTTTGTTAAAATAAATTTTACTATACCAACTCAATATGCAGAGACAAACTATAAATTAACCATTTGTAAGTTGATTGCTCTGTTTGTTTGAGCATCCCAACATAGCAACATTGGCTCAACCAATGGAGTGATTTTTGAGGCATATCTGTTTGTTAATGAAAGATGGATGGAGTGTTTTGAAAACCTGTTTGAACATGTTTATTTTTTTTTTCAAATCCATTTGGTGAATATTTGGAGCTAGAGGCGAGAAAATTACTCTTTAGCTTTAATGCTTCGTTTATTTGTGTCTCCAGTTCATATCGTGAGGAACAGTACATGACTTTTGCATGAACAAAGCAAAAAGGTGTAACATTATGAATTGTAAACATGATAGGTGGTTGTCACAAATGTTGCTTTTGATGTAATATTGTATATTATTTTAAATCTCAGTAACTTGTATTTAATTGTTTATGATAGTAGAAGAGAATTGTGAAAGAAAAGAGGCTTTTGTGAGTAATAAGAATGCAGATTCTCTAAATCAGACAAGTGGCATTAACTGAACAGAATTCCTAATATTTCAGCTGTTAGGATGCCAGTGTGTGTATCTTCTGTTTTCTCAGACTATGCTAGTCATCTTAACTTTATCTTCACTTACAGCCAATCACATTTCTGTTTCTAATGTTCTATTCTATGAAGTCTGGGCAGAAAATTGAATTGGTTTAATATTTATATAGCTTGTTTTCAATTAATCTTTAAATTAGATTGTATGCCCTGCCCTTCTTTAACACTGTACAGAACGCTGAAATCTATTTTTAATAAAATATTTTTGTAAATGTATATGATCTTCCTACATGGTCAGACCTGCATTTTGAGAAGCACTATTAACGGTGTATGTGTGTACAAAAAAAAAAAAAGTATCTAGCTGAACCTGACAAAACCTCACCTTATGGGGACACGCTCATTTGTAGAAAAAAAAGGGAAACAATATTCAAAATAAGGTTATTTTAAATGCAGTCAGTGTTCTTTTAGGGTGTGGGTTAGGGTTGTGGTATTTAGAAGTAGCTGTATAAAAACAATTGCAGTATATGAAATGTCCCCCAAATAGATAGCTAAGTTTTTCCACCTTTAAAAAAAATGTTTTATTAAACAGATCAAGCTGGTGACCTTCAAGGATTTGTTTCGCCACAGAATTTTGTGTTGCACATTTTCTCAAGTATCAGCATAAGATGCTTTGAATGATCTCCAAGCCTAGTTAGGCTAGTCTGTTGGTTGTTTTAGATGGGTTTTAACCACTTTTCAAATGGTCAAGCTGGGAGATCAGCTTTCTAACCAGCTAAACCACATGAACACCAGCTGGGCCCAACTGGGAGATCAGTTTGAACCACTTAAGACCAGGAAAGATTCAACCTACTTCAAGATGGTTTCAGCAAGGTATACTTAAATAGTACAAGTGAAATCTTTCAGTGCTACTTTGGTTTCTTCCCCTCTCTCCCTTTCTTTACTGTACTACTATTGTAAATAAATTACTTTATATGTACAGATTTTTTTTTTAGCTGCTTTTTAGCTTTATCTGCATGTTCAATTCTTCGTATTATAATATATTGCGTGCATTCGAGCTGTTTTGACGTTTGTAATCAGAAAGAATATTTGAATGATCTAACAAGTTTGTCAAGCTGTTTGAGCGCTAGAATGTGCTGCATCATACCTCTGCGTTTGGCACAAACAGAGGCAGACATGGAAAATTCCAGTGTGTGAGCGCGCCCTCTACTGGAACACTACAGCTGGATTTCTGTACGACACTGTCATCTAGTGGACGTTCAACAACAAGAGCTTATAATTATTTTTTTACGTTACTAGTGCTTATGTTTTAATTGCTAGTGCGTAATCCAAATCGCAGTAGTATCTTTGTTAAATGATTATATATTTAAAATCGCAATTGTTTTCTTTTAATCAAACTATGTAAAACCTAATTTCATTCAAACTCCACTGCTACCTTCAAGAGTCAAGAGAAAGTTTAAGTAAAAGAGTTAACGTTTCTTAACCCCTTCAGGCCCTGCTGCCATTGAAATGGACACAGGAATTTTTGTTTAAACCAATAAAATGTTATGTTTTTATAATGAGAAATGTCCCTGATTAACCAATGACAATGAAGATATGACTCCTAACGGAATCTGAGCTACAGGCATCATAAAAACAGACATGACTGACTAACTAGACAGGAAGAGGTCCCTGCAAACAAGCCTGTGCTGGGGTAGGGTTGCCACCTTCAGCTAGGCAAAAGAAAGGGACACCCACTCATGACCCTCCCCCTCAAAAAAAAAAACCGCCAAGGACACAAATAATCAGTGAGGAACTCATAGCTCAACAGTAAACCACGAGAAAACATGCTGAAGTAGGCTATGTAAACTTGCAACTGAACACATTAATAGTGTTATTTTAAATTTGATTATTTATAACTATGAATTATCATTAGTCTTTTTTGACAGTTCTGCAGCTGCTACCAGGATGGGATACATTTTTGGTTCACCCAAAAAAATTAAAATTCTGTCATAATTTACCCAGGTTTTTCTAAACCTGCATGAAGTTCTGTTGAACACAAAAGAAGATACTTTGAAGAATGTGGGTAACTAAACACATCCACATGTCACTTTTCGACGTAACCTACACTCACTCTCACCCTCCCAGCTATCTGCTATGGTTTCATCTTCGCTTCCTTCCCCTGAACAGTTATCATCTCTTGATGTTAACAGTGCTACTGATACTTTCTGCTCCACTCTTACATCTTGTTTAGACACTGTCTGTAGGAAGATCAGGCCCTTTCTTTCAGAACATGCAACACAACTCCTTGTTCAAGCTCTTGTTCTATCCAGGCTGGATTATTGCAATGCTCTCTTGGCAGGTCTTCCAACCAGTTCTATCAAACCTCTACAATTAATCCAAAATGCCACTACAAGATTAATCTTTAATTAGCCGAAAAGAACACATGTCACACCTCTGTTCATCAGTTTGCACTGGCTACCAGTAGCATGCTTGCATAAAATTCAAGGCATTAATGTTTGCCTACAAAATCAC